AAAAAGCACTGAGAGAGATAAAGGCCTGTGAAGTGTGTGTGTGTATTAGTGTGTTGGGGTTACATAGGAGGAGAATGTAGTTTCCACTTAGGGGGGGCCAGGAAGTCTTCCTGGAGGTGGTGGCATTTGCCCTGGGCCTTGATGGCAGGCAGGGTTTGAAGGGAGAGTTATTAGAAGGGAATCAGGGTGGAGGGAATAGCAGGAACGAAGGACACCCCAGGTGCGTGAGGGAGCAGTGTGCAGTTCTGTTTGTGGCATGGGGGGTTAGAGGAAAGAAGTCTGGACAGGGAGGCCAGGACACGTGTTCCCATGTCTCTGCCAGCTGTCATGGGCCAGGGGAGCAGCCATGTTCTGGGTAACCCAGAGTCATAGTCACGGGCTGACATCAAGACCCTTCTTCTGGTCATTAAGTGTGTGTGTGGAGCTGTAGATTCTCTGTCCCTACCGCCCCCCATTGTGGGGTTTCAGCTGAAGGTGGAAGTTGGTCCCTTCTGCCCAGAGAGTCTGTGGTCCTTTCTGGGAAGGCTGACGACCGAGCAGAGGGAATTCCTGGGGGTTTGGTTATTTATTCACTCATTCGTTTTCTCATTTGCTCTTATACCCACTTATTCATTCATTCATTCCTCACTTAGTCCCTAAACCTTTACTCTGGGCAGGTCCTGTGCTGGAGACGCAGAGGACTCAGATGAGGTTCCTGCTCTTGTGAGCTGCCAGTCTGATGGGGGAGACAGACCCATGCCTGGCAGTGACAACCCCGTATTACTGTGAAATATAAAAAGAAATTATTTTATTGTGTTTTTTCACTGAGTGGTGAGGTAGAGCTGGAACATGGACCTGAAGAATTAATGCAGATGGCTGGGCATGGTGGCTCACGCCTGTAATCCTAGCACTCTGGGAGGCCGAGGCGGGAGGATCGCTTGAGGTCAGGAATTTGAGACCAGTGTAAACAAGAGCAAGACCCCATCTCTACTAAAAATAGAAAAAATTAACCGGCATGGTGGCACACGCCTGTAGTCCCAGCTACTTGGGAGGCTGAGGCAGGAGGATCGCTTGAGCCCAGGAGTTTGAGGCTGCTGTGAACTAGGCTGACGCCTAGTTCAGGTGACAGAGCAAGACTCTGTCTCAGAAAAAAAAAAAAAGAATTAATGCAGATGTTTGGCCCCCAGCAAAGAAGGCCTGGTCAGTGGGGCTGCATGAAGAAGGTTGTAGTGTGAGAAAAGGAGTGTTTGCAGGAGAAAATGCTCTGGGTTCACAGGACGTAAGAGGCAAGCTCTCTCCAGATGCGGGACTCCCCAGGGGCCCACTCAGGGACTGGGCCTTTGCGCTGAGGGTACTTCACTCTAATGTGAGGGCTCTCACTTTAGAAAGGAGCCTGCTGGATTTAGGAGCCTCAAGAGAATTTTTTGGCCAGTAAATGTAACCCGTAAGCAGGTCATGGAGACCTGGGGTTAAACCTGTGGCTTTGGACTTAGGTCATGGTTCAAATCCTGATGCTAACCCTTCCCTTCTGAGTAACTTTGGACAAACGACTTAATACTCTTTGCCTCCAGTTTTTCCTCTGCAAGAGAATAATAATCTTAGCATCTTTCTTTTAGGGCAAGGCCCAAAGGCTGTAATGTACATGAAGTGCTTGAACATGTGAGGGGGGCAACAATGACAGGGTTATATGACAGTGACAATGATGATGATAGTGATATACTGTCAAGTGCTGCCTTTAAAATCTCTGGGCCTCATTCTCCCCAGCTGTAAACTGGAAGGGCTGACGTAGTGCACTAGTTCTTGAAGTGTGGTTCCTTGACAAGCAGCATCAGCATCACTTGGGATCTCGTTAGAAATGCACATTCTTGGCTCTGCTTCAGCTGTACTGAATCAAAAACTCTGCGGCCGGGCGCGGTGGCTCACGCCTGTAATCCCAGTCCTGAGAGGCTGAGGTGAGAGGATCACTTGAGCCCAGGAGTTTGAGGCTGCAGTGAGCTGTGATCGCACCACTGAACTCCAGCCTGGGAGATAGAGCGAGACCCTGTCTCTAAAAACAATACAGGCTCATGCCTGTAATCCCAGCACTTTGGAAGGCTGAGGCAGGAGGATTGCTTGAGGCCAGGAGTTTGAGGCTGCAGTGAGCTGTGATCGCACCACTGAACTCCAGCCTGGGAGATAGAGCGAGATCCTGTCTCTAAAAACAATACAGGCTCATGCCTGTAATCCCAGCACTTTGGAAGGCTGAGGCAGGAGGATTGCTTGAGGCCAGGAGTTCGAGACCAGCCTGGTCAATAACGAGACCCTGTCTCTACCAAAAATACAAAAATTAGCCAGCTGTGGTGGTGCACGCCTATAGTCCCAGCTACTCAGGAGGCTGGGGCAGAAGGACTGCTTGAGCCCAGGAGTTTGAGGTTACAGTGAGCTGCGATCTCACCACTGTACTCCAGCCTACACGACAGAAAGAGAGAGAGAGAGACCCTGTCTCGAAAAGTAAAAAATAAAAAAAAAAAATCAAAACAAAACAAAAAAATCTCTGGAGATTGGGCCCACAGCCCAGCAATCAGTGTTTTACAAGCCTTCTGGGTAATTCTGATGCAGGCTGAAGTTTGAGAACCACAGACTTGGCTATCACTTAACAGCTCGATCTGCTGTTCCAGGACTATCCATGCGTGTTTCATGACTTCTGAATTTAGCTGGTCAGGGGCCTGGTGGAGAGTGATGTAGTCCCAGCCCTCTGGGGCCTCCCAGGGGAGTTGGAAAGGGGAGGCAGACACCCATGGGAACCTTCCCTGGAGTAACAGACTGTACAGAGAGGCTGAGGTGACACAGGAGTCAGTTCTGCAGTGGCACAGAGGGGAGAGACCTCTCTGGGCTGGAGGGGCCTGTGCAGAAAGCTCTGGTACTCCGTTGCTTGTTCCTGACAGTAAGATTGATTCGGTGTGGCTGGAAGTCCTCTCCTAAGTCTAGCTGAAGCATCTCTTGCTTTCTGCCTTGTTGTGGGGTGAGTGGACGGGGTTCGGGACTTGAGGTCAGGAGTGGTGATTCCGGACGGCTTCATTACTGGGTGCCTTTGGGTGGCTCGCTTTCCTTCCGCGGCCTCAGTTTAGCCGTCTGTAAGCTGGGGGGCTGCACTGAATTCGGTGAGTCTGAGACATTACGGTCCTCTGGAGGGAGGGAAGGGTTGGGGGCCAGAAGCTCTCTGGGTTTTCACCCCTTCATCTGCGCGGTGAGGAGCCTGAGGTTGGCTGGCTGCCGAGCAGCGTATCTTGGGGATCGAGTAAGGTGAGCTGTCTCCTCTTTGGTCTGGTTTCCTTACCAGTCCGGGGACATGTCACCTGTTCACCTCACGTGGCTTTCATCATGTTGAGTGTGTTCATTATTCTCAGAGGCTCCTTGACGCCTGAACTCTGTTGCCTGGCATTCGAGGCCCCCCGTAGCAGGTTCCCAGCTTTCCTGCAAAGTGAGGGAACTCATGGCCTGTGACTGCATCCTCTTCTGTTCCTGTTAGGCCTTCCACCTTACCTTCTTCTCAGCCTATCCGAGCCCATTCAGTCTTCAGGCCAGGCTAGCACTCCCTCCTCCAGGAAGCCTCCTAGATTGCCCCAACCCTTAGTGCCATCCATGGACCATTTTGCAGTCTTTAAGGTGTGACTTTAATTTCTCATTTTTAGACATAGAACTGTTGACAGATGACAGGCTCTTTGAGGGCAAGACCTGAGCTCACAGCGATGGACATTAGAGTCCCTGACTCCTAGAGCAGGGAGGCCCAGAGAGGAGGGAACTTGCCCGGAGTCACACAGCACATTAATGAAAGAACCATGCCCAGAAGCTGGGCCTTACAGGCAGGACATGCCCGGAGGAGACGTTATTAGAATTGTGGTGAGTGAACTAGAGGCAGTGAGGAAAGGGCTGAGGCTCAGAATCAGCTGAAGTGTTCCGGCACGGCTCTGCACTCACTAGCCGTGCCACCTGGGCACATCACCTACCCTCCCCAAGCTCCTTCCCAGTGGGGCTGGGATGAGGACCAGCATGGGGCCTGGCACACAGCAGGTGCTTGGTTATCATGGGGTGATGTTATTGCTCCCCACCCACTGTCCATCCCAGCTCCCCTGCCTGCATCCCTTCCCCCACCCTTCTTCCCTTGACCACCAGGCACTTCACTGTCCTAAGTCCAACAGGAGCGTCAAGACCTCCTATCAAGCCTCTTGCAGAAGCGCCTGGGAGAAGGGAAAATCCTGGCGGTCTCTCAATCAGTGGTGGGTAGAGAGGGGCTGGGGTGGGTGCGCCAAGGGGCTGAAGCCTGCATGGCCATCAGGGTGGAAATTAGAAAAGTCATGCTGCCTGTTTAAAGGAAGTGAGGGGTGTGCCCTGTCCACAGCCAGCAACTGCTAGATGCTGGCAGCCTGGAGCGGTAGAGCAGGCAGGCTGCACTCCTGGGGGGGGGTGGGTGAAGAGTCCCAGCAGGTGGGTCTGGTGTCGTTCTGGGCGGCCACTGGCAGTTCCCTGGCCTCCTGCCACCTTCCAGTCTGACCCCTTGTGGATGGATGGAAGCCTGTGCCTGGTTAGCCAGTCTGCAGGCTGGGGCTGGGGCGTTGGACCCACCTGCTCCGGTGCCTGGAAGCAGGGAGAATGACGGGGGCTGGGAAGGGGGTGGCTGGAGTTTGGCTGGGGCTGGAGGCAAAGTGAGTGTCCGGCTGGGTGCCCAGTGGGCGGGCACAGGGCCCCCTGATGTGGCTGTGGCCCAGCTGGCAGCCTCTGTCCTTCCTCTCCGGCCGGCGGGCACAGGAGTCTTTGGTGCGGGGCTCCTGGGAGAAGTGGGGCAGAGGGCCGTGTCAGGACAGGTGGACACGGGGTGAAACAGCTGGCTCCGGAGGGCGGGAGCCCAGGGAGGAGGAGGGGCAGGAGGAGAGGCCCACAGTTCTTCTGGAGCCAGGCCCGGCTGTTGCTCAGGTGACCAGCGTCGTCTCTGGGAGGGCGCTGCTTCCCACCGCCGTCCTGACACAGCTAGCCGACCCGCCCGCTGCAGCCACGATGATCCAGAATGTGGGAAGTCACCTGCGGAGGGTATGGTGGGCCGGGGCGGGTCTGCGGCCAGGGGGAGGGCCCCGGAGGCTGGGGACGCAGAGGAGATTGATGTTTCCGTTTTAAGTCAGAAGCCCTGCATCTTCTCTCTCACTCTCCCGGGCCATTTTCTAGCTCTCTTTGGAAGAGAAATCGCAGACCCTGGGCTGGTTCCTTGTAAGCAGCTGTCCCCAACAAGCCAGGGGCTTAGATTCCCCCAGGGACCGCCTGTGCCGGGGAATCACCTTCAGCAAGTTCGTGGCTTCTGGAATTCTGTTCTGGGGGTGTGTTTCTCTCCACAGGCTTCTGTGCGTGTTTCTGCTGGGCGTCTGAGCTGGCGGCTCTGTGGTGTTCACCCTCCCAGCTCAGGCTGACGGCCGTGGAGCTGGCGCAAGTTGCAGAGTTGCGGGGTGAGGTGTGCGTGCGAGTGAGTGTGTGTAACAGGCGAGGCAGGGTTCCTGGGGACCCGTGCCTCTTGGAGAGGGCAAGTGTGAGACCACGTGAGGGCTGTGGAAAGGTGTCATGCACAGCGACCTTGAAGAGAACTTTTCCCTGGAACCTCCTAACAGGGACTTTGGAGCTGAGATTAGGTGCTGAGGCGCACGGCAGCCCCAAGTGTGGCGGGGGCCTTTGATCTGGTGAATGGGGACCAGCTCAGGACAGACTGGCAGGCGTTGTGCTGGGTGTAGAGTGGCTGCTCTCTGAGGACGTTTTCAGGAAAAACCTTTTTTTTTTTTTTATTTCAGGGTATTATGAGGGTACAAACATTATGGTTACATTTTATGTCTTTGCCTCACCTGAGCTAGGGTTAAAGGCATGCCCTTCCCCCCTACAATGCTCCCCGTGTCCTTTAGTTGCGCGTTTACCCTCCCCATCCCCCTAATCCCTGGAGAGTATTTCTGCCATGTGATCACCCTAGTGTTGATCAGTTAGTACCAATTTGATGGCGAGTACAAGTGGAGCCCATTCTTCCGCTCTTGTGGTGCCTCACTTTGGATAATGGGCTTAAGTTTAATCCAGGAAAGTGTAAGAGGTTCTAGATCATTGTCGTTTCTTATGATTGAGTAATATTCCGTTGTATACATATACCAAATTTTAATAATCCAGGAAAAACCTTTTTAAAAGGGGCTGGGCAAGTAAGGACGTGTCTTATCCATCCCCCCCTCCATCCGGACAGCCTCCACTCGACTCAGCACCCTCCCCTGGTCCGGCACAACTCGTCCTCCCTGGCTCCCCTGCCCCCCATGATGGCTACCTTCAGTACGACCTTCACAATCCTCACGTGATACAAAAGGACCTTGGTGATCTGGCCCCTGCCCACGCCTCCCTCCTCATCCCAGCATCCCCACCCCTGTGTGATCTCCGCAGCAGCCAGGCGGACTGCTTTCCGCTGCCTCAGTGCACCGCCTTTGCTCTCCCCTCTGTGCTGTTGTACCTGTGCCCTCTGCCAGAGCTGCCCCCAGCCTCCCGTGCCTCCCCTGACCTGTCTCCCCGGCAAGTTCCCTCTGAGCCCTCGGGTCTCAGCTCAGATGCCGTCTCCTCTGGGAAGGCTTCCCAGATGTACCATGGTGCCATGAGCCCCCACGTCAGTCCCTTCTCACGCCTCGCGCCGGATTGTGTGCTCGACTTGCACGTCCCTCTCTCCCGCCAGCCGGTGAGCCCCACGAGGCTGCGCTTGTCGAACTCAGCACAGGGATGGTGTGGCCAGGGCCCAGGGCATGCCTAATGAATGAGTGGGAACAGGCAGCTTCTCCAGGAGGCTGGGGGTGGGACCTGGGTAGCAGGCCCACTTGCTCTTGTAACCTGAGCGCAGGGCAGAGAGTGTCTTCCAGGTGGGTGGGGCTGCCCGTGTCTTCTCTTGTGCCCCGAGGTGCTTAAACCTTCATGACTCTTACCCCGTTAATCTTCATCAGTAACTGGGGGCAAGGCAGTGGGCGAGGGACTATGCTCATCACAACTTAACAGAGAGCAGTAGTAACAAATCCTCGTGTAGCTCTGACCATGCTAGACACCATGCCAGATTCTTTGCATGTGTTAACTCATTCAGTTCTCTATGAGGTAGGTGAGTCATCATGCCCATATCCCAGACAAGGAATCTAAGACTCAGAGAGGGTGAGTGACTTGCCCAAGATGACACTGGTAGGAAGTGGCAGAGCTGGGATTCGAACTCAGCTGTCCAGCTGCAGAGTTTGAGCTCTTAAGGAACCTGAGTCTCAGCCAGATGAAGGCCCAGAAGTGGGAGTCCAGCCCATGTGTCCCGACCCCAAGCCCAGTTGGCATTCAGCTTCCCTGCACTGCCTCCATGGAGTCTGGGGTGGAGGTGGGGCTCATGAGGACACAAGTGACCTCATGTCAGCTAAGAACACTCTGGCCTTGATTGCCACCTTTGGACCATTGCCTGGATGGCAGATGTCCTTGGATTTCCCTTGCTTCCTCTTAGATTCCCTTAGTCCCTCTGGAATATAGGAGGGTTTGAGAACATTTTCTGGTTTGGTACCAAAGTTGTTTTTTTTGAGACAGGGTCTTGCTCTGTCGCCTGGGCTAGAGTGCAGTGGCATCATCATAGCTCGCTGCAACCTCAAAGTCCTGGGCTCAAGTGATCCTCCTGCCTCAGCCTCCTAAGTAGCTGGGACTACAGGCATGTGCTACCATGCCTGGCTAATTTTTCTGTTTTTTGTAGAGATGGCGTCTCGCTATGTTGTCTGGGCTTGTCTTAAACTCCTGGGCTCAAGCAATCCTCCTGTGTTGGCCTCCCAAAGTGCTGGATTACAGGTGTGAGCACCTAGCCCGAAAGCTGTTTTTGACAAAAAGCAAGCAAACCAAAAATCCCCACCAAACTGTCTTCGCTGGGGACTGAAGAGAGCCAGGGAACAGGTGCGGGGGCTGGGGGTCTCAGATAATCCACAGGCTCTGCTTTGCATGGTTTGGGCGCCTTTTTCAGTGTCCTGTGACACTGCGGACAGAGTGAGCATTGGAGTCTGACGGTTCTGGCTCCTACTCGCCACTGGGTACCCAGCAAGCACTCGGCATACGCGAGCCAGCGAGTGAATGAACGAAGCGGTGAGTCTGCTGCCAAGCTGGGGGGTGGGAGGGGTGCTGCGTGCCTGTCTGGTGGTGCTGGAAAGATGTCCGTGTCCTGTCTCAGTCCTTGCCTCTCCCAACAGAGCTGTCTTCTCCTTTCCCCATCCGAGGCGTTAATCTACACTGAGTACTGAGTGCTGCACTCCTGAGCTGGCAGGGACCTGCTGGTGCCCTAGTGGGAGGCTGCTGGGGCTCCTGGGGAATCTGAGAACCTCTGCTCAGCCTAAGTTCTAGCGCGGCCTAGGTCCACTCCCAGTGGGACTCAGGAGCTGTTGATTTTACTCCAGAAAAGGTGATGGGGCTGTTTGTCCCAGCTCCCCACCACCGGCAGGGTGGTGGAAGATCAGAAACAGCTGAGTGTCTGTGCACGTGCTCACGCTGCTCCAGACTGAACCTGAGGACAGCTGGAGGGCTCCTCCCCACCCCCCCAACCTCCCCAGCCTCATTGGGGTCCAGCCCAGAGTGTGGGGAGGTTTGGAGTACAACAATGGGATTAGAATCTTATGTTCATCCCGTTAGTCATGGTGCGACCTTGGACCAGGGATTCCCCACTCTGAGCCTCAGTGTGCTGGGTGATCGCTGGGGTCCCAGCCGGCCTGGACATCCTGGGGTCTGGATGTTTGTGGAGGTTTGTACACCACTTTGAGGTTGGTCCTGCCGATGAAAGGCAGGGGCCCATCTCCCTGGAAGGCCCCACTGTGTGTTTGCGGGGGAGACGTGGATAGAAAATGATGTGCCTATCTATAGTAGGAGCAAAAAAACTGCTGAATGAATGAGTCATGATGGGTGCTCAGAAGGGGGCTGAGGTGGTCCGGGAAGGCTGCCTGGAGGAAGAGGTGAGCTGCTTGAACACTTAGCGGCAGCCTGTTCAGGAGCCACATATGAACCCTTCTCAGCCATGGGCAGACACCCTTAGTCTGGAGGGTATCTGGAGTACTCTCCTAGATCTTCTTTTCAATTAAAAATATTTTTTATTTTGTTTTTTAAATTGATAGATAACATGTTCATATCATGTATAACATGATGTTTCGAAGTATATATACATTACGGAATGGTTAATTCTAGCTACTTAACAAATGCGTTACCTCACATGGTTTTCACTTTTGTGGTGGTAGCACATAACAGCCACTCTCGTTACACTTTTCAAGAATACAATGTCATCATTAACTGTAGTCACCTTGCCGTACAGTCAATCTCTTGAAATATATTCCTCCTACCTAACCATAATTATGCGCCCTCCACCAAGATCTCCCCCCTCCCCCAGCAGCCCCAGCCCCTGGTACCCACCGTTATACTCTCCACTTCTAGAAGATCAACTTGTTAAGATTCCTGCATGAGTGAGGTCATGTAGTATTTATCTGTGCCTGGCTTATGTCACCTACTAATGTCCTCCAGGTTCATCTGTGTTGGTATGAATGGCAGGATTTCCTTCTTTTTTATAGCTGGATGTTCCTTGTGTATATCGTGTTACACAAGGCTATTCCTTGTGTGTATGTACCACGTTTTCTTTATCCGTTCATCTGTCGAGGGACACTTAGGTTGATTCCGTATCTTGGCTATTGTGAATAATGTTGGAATAAACATGGGACTGCAGATAGTTCTTTGACATACTGATTTCATTTCCTTTGGATATATATACCCAGACGTGAGCTTGCTGAATCATATGGTAGTTCTATTTTTAATGTTTTGAGGAACCTCCATACTGTTTTCCATAGTGGCTGTACTAATTTACATTCCCACCAACAGTGTAAAAGCGTTCCCTTTCTCCACATCCTCACCAACACATGCTATCTTTTGGTTTTTGATGATAGCCATCCTAACTGGAGTGATGTGATATCTCATTGTGGTTTTGGCATTTCCCTGATGATTAGTGATGTGGAGCATTTTTTCATATACCTGTTGGCCATCTGTATGTCTTCTTT